TTTATTGATTTGCATATGTTAAACAGGCCTTGCATCTGTGGGATGAAGCCTACTTGGTCATTTTTTTATTAATAAGTTTTTTTATTATGAAAATACCATACAGAGGGGCTGTAATTACACGAACAAGGTAATGAGTACATTTCTTATCAAGCATTGATGCCTCCTCCTCTGTTTCCCCTTACCATCATTGCCCTCCCATCCCCACCCCCTCAGCCTACTTGATCATAATGTATGATTTTTTTTTTTTTTTTTGGTCATGGGGCTTGAACTTGGCCTGGACACTTTCCCTCAGCTCTTCAGCTCAAGACAAGCGCTTTACCACTTGAGCCACAGCACCACTTCATAATGTATGATTTTTAAGATTTGTTTCTAGGTTCTGTTAGGAAATATTTTATTGAAGAGCTTTCCATCTGTGTTCATCAGACAAATTGGTCTGTAGTTCTCTTTTTTTTGTTGGATCCTTACCTGGTTTGGGGGTTAGTGTAATATTGGCTTCATAAAATGAGTTTGGGTTTGTTTCCTCTGCTTCTGTTTCATGGAAAAGCTTGAAGAGTGTTGGTATTCGCTCATCTTTAAAAGTCTAATAGAATTCAGCAGCAAGTCCATCTGGGCCTGGGCTTTTCCTTATTAAAAGACTTTTGATTATTTCCTCTATCTGGTTGTATGTTATTGGTTTGTTTAGCTGGTTTATATCTTTTTGGTTCAGTTTAGGCAACTTCCTTGTTTCTAAAAATTCATCCATGTCTGCTAGGTTTTCCTTGTTTAGTGAGTATAGGTTTTGAATCATTTGGATTTCTTGGATGTTGTAATATTTCCTGTGGCATCTCTGATCTTGTTGATTTGAACTTCCTCTCTTCTCTTTTTCATTAATCCCGCAAGTGGTTTGCCAAGTTTATTAATTTTTTTTGTTATTGGAGTTTCTTTATTACATCACTTCATGTTACCATTAATGATCGCCAAATTCTACATTTTATTAATTATTTTAAAGAACCAGCTATTTGTTTCATTAATTCTATGTATAGTTTTTTTAGTTTCTGTTTCATTGATTTCTGCTCTAATCTTTGCTATCTCTTTCCATCTACTAGTTTTAAATTTGATTTTTTTGTTTTTCTAGCAGTTTTAATTGCATCATGAAGTTATTTATTTGAGATGTTTCTGTTTTCTTTATGTGTGCACTTAGGGCTATGAACTTTCCCCTCAGTACTGCTTTTGCTGTACTCCAGAGGTTCCATTACAATGTGTTTTTGTTTTCATTAAATTGTAAGAACTTTCTAATTTCTTCCTTAATTTCTTTTGTGACCTAGGTGTTATTCAGTAGTGTGTTATTTAGCCACCATGTGTGAGTGATTTCTGCAGTCTGTTTTTTTTGTTAAGAACTAATTTGATTCCACTGTGGTCAGAGAGGATGCAAGGACTTATATCAATCCTCCTGTATTTGCTTCGGTTCTTTGTGTGTACTACGATATGATCGATTTTGGAGAATGTTCCATGGCTGCTGAGAAGAATGTGTATTGGGTTATTGTTGGGTGAGAATACTCTGTAGAAGCCTATTAAATCCATTTGGGTTATGGTGTTATTTAGTTCAGAGGCTTCTTGGCTTAGCATTTGTTTGGTGGGGTATTAAAATCTCTCACTATTGTGTTTGGGTCTATCTTGTTCTGTATTTGTTTAATGTATTTAGGTGAGCCATTGTTTGGTGCATAGATATTGACCACTGTGATTTCCTCTTCCTGGATCATTCCTTTTACTAATATGTAACGACGTTCTCTGTCTCTGTACTGATTTTAATGATATCAATATGGCTACTCCTGCCTTCTTGCAGGGAGCATTTGCATGGAAGACCTTTTTCTATCCCTTCACTCAGAATTTGTTTTTTGTTTTTTGTACTTTTGGGCATGGGGCTTGAACTCTGGGCCTGGGCGCTGTCCCTCAGCTCTTCAGCTCAAGGCGAGCACTCTACCACTTGAACCACAGAGCCACTTCCAGTTTTCTGAGTGGCTTACTAAAGATAAGAGTCTCATGGACTTTCCTGCCCAGGGTGGCTTTGAACCATGATCCTCAGATCTCAGCTTCCTGAGTAGCTAGGATTCCAGGCATGAACCACCAACACCTGGCTGAGAATTGGTTTTTATCTTTGTGAGATGGGTCTCTTGGAGGCAACAAATGGATAGATATTTATTTGGAACCAATCTGCTGTCCTTTTTCTTTAGATTGGAGAATTGAATCCGTTAATGTTTAGGGTTAGCATAGGGAGATGTGTTGTTTCCTGATATTTTCTTGATTTCCTGTATTTTGTTTCTTTCCTCTTCCTGTGCTTACTAGATTTGTCTTCTAGTAATTTTTGTCTGATGTGTATCCCTGATTTTGATGGTTTTCTTCAGATTGTATTCATCCCTTTAGTATTCTTTGTAATGCTGGTTTAGTTTTCATGAATTCCTTTAATTTTTGTCTCTAATGGAAGATTTTGGTTTCACCATCAAATGTAAATGATACCTTCACTGGATATACCAGTTTGGATTGGTAGTTGTTGGTCTTCAGGGTTTGGGTTATAACATTACAGGATCTTCTTGCATTGAAGATTTGTGTACAGAGGTCTGTAGTGATTCTGATTTTCATGCCATTATAATATAGCTCCTTCTTTGATTTTTCAGCATTTAAAAGCAATTCCTTGCTATTACAAATCTAATATTTTCACTATGATGTATCAAGAAGTGTTTCTTTTTTTGAGGGGGAAGGGTTCGGTCGTGGGGCCTGAACTCTGGGCCTGGGCGCTGTCCCTCAGCTCTTTAGCTCAAGGCTAGCGCTCTACCACCTGAGCCACAGTGCCACTTCCGCTTTTTTTCTTTTTGCTTATGTGGTGCTGAGGAATCGAACCCAGGGCCTCAGGCATGCAAGGCAAGCGCTCTACCACTAAGCCACCTTCCCAGCCCTCTCTGTACTCTTGAAATTGTTTTTGCATCTCCCTTTATTTCATTGGCCATTTCTGCCATCATTTCTTTAATATTTCTTTTGTCCTCCATCTCTTCTTCAATCTTACTGTGGTCCTTCACTGAATTGTTGTTGGCTTTTGAATTTGGCTTATTGTCTTTATTGTTCATGAATCTTGTAATCTTTTATTGTGATTTATGCATTTGGGTTCAGGGATTGTCAGGACTGTGGCCAGAGCTTGGCTTTGTTTGCACCCAACAGATGACAGCCCTTGCTTGGCCCAGGCTAGCCCATACTGGATGGACTAGACCGCACTGGGTCCCTGGGTCAGCAAGCACCTAAGTGGGTGCTTGGCCCAAGGGTAGCTGAAAAGCTCTCAGTCCCTTATGCAGCAGTCCTGGGAAGATCAGATTCAGGTCTTGGGATGAGTGCATGCTTCAGAAGCAGAAAGGAAGTTTGCACTTTGGTTCTCCCTCTCAGGTGGCTGTTGCCTGGTGGGTGGCTTCTGCATGTGTGTGTGAGTTTGTGTGTGTGCAAGGGTCCAAGGGAGTGTGTGTGTATGTGCAAGGTTCCAGGGGAGAGTGTGTGTGTGTGTGTGTGTGTGTGTGCAAGGGTCCAGGGGAGTGATCCGCCAGCAGCTGCTCAAATGGGCCTGTTTGCTGCTGTAGGCTGGGGAGAGTAGCTTCAGGCCACTGGGATGGGCCAGATGGGCATGAGGCTTCAGAAGGGGCAGCCGCCCATTGGTGCATGGAATTTTGTCTATGTTGTTTTCAAACAGGCCAGGTTCCCCTGCTGATAGGGTTGTGGAGGTTGCAGGGTCCTCGGTCCCACCCACCATAATTGTGATGGCTTTCTGCTGGAAGCTAGTAGGTGGAGTGGGAGGAGCGAGGAAGGGCTCTGGCCCCTTCATCCTCTTCAACTGTGGTGCCCTTCTTGGGCAGGAGGAAGGGGTCTAGGCCAAGCTTCTGTGGGTGACCACCAGTAGTGGTCTCTTGTGGGCAGAGGGGAGGGGTCTCAGTAAGAGGGTATGATCCTGGGATGGGCTATGGACTGACCAGCAGCCCAGTGGCAAATCTCTGTGTCAGAATACTGCAGCTTGCAGACTAGGTCCAGAGGCCTGGGCAGCCGCAGAGCCAGTCTTGCAACTCTGCCCCATTGGTTGTGGGCTGACTGGTGGCACCATTGAAACTCTCTGAGTCATCACAGTGCCTTGCCACTGGTCTCTGTCTCTTTTATGTTTCCATGATTGCAGTCACCTATGACATAGATGCTTTGCAAATATTTGCTCCTTTTCTATTCTTTCATCTGGTGGTAAGTTTGTGACTTTGTTGTCATATGAAAGAAATAATTGCTGAATCTGATGTTATAAAGAGTGTGCTTATGTTTTGAGTTTACTTATATTTTCTTTTCTCAGAGTGTAGAGTTTTTTTTATTTTATTTTTAGTGTTGTCATTCGGGTCTTTGATTCATTTTGAGCTATTTTTTGCATGTAGTACAAGGTAAAGCTGTGAATTCATTCTGTTGATTGTAGACATTCAGTTTTCCCAGATTACTGAGTTGAACTAGATGGAGCTCATTCTACATCTTGGGTCTGTGGGGTTACATTTGATCAAGTTTGGCATGACTTTATCCTGGTAGTTCTGAGCACCACTTTCACTCCAGACTGATGGGAAAAAGCCATCCTGGTACCTGTGGCACTCTGGGGAGGAGAGAAGCTGACCCCGAGTCTCTTGTTCTCAGGCCCATTCTCTGTGCTGCTACCCATGCTCATTTCTTCATGCTTATTCTTCACATGACCCACCCACTATCATGGACCAGGAAGTACAAGACACCATGTGGACAGAAACCATGAGTATTGCAGGGGACTCAAAACTGAGCTCTCCCATTATGTTTTCTTCTCTGTGCCTCAGTTTCTCCTTTATATTACTAGCCCATATGAGATTTCATCCTGATCACACAGGCAGCGTGCTCTACTCATGTTATATACTTGGTTAGTGAGAGTCAGGGTTGATTAAACTTTGAGGAACCTCACAGGGTCCTGTCAGGAGGAATAACTGCTGTGTTTCCCCCAGGAGCAGCTGTAGATGGGGAACTGCAGGTGATACAGCCATACAGATTAGTGTCTGTCGCCGCTGAAGAGATGGTCACACTGCCCTGCACTGTGACCTCCCTGCGCCCTGTGGGACCCATCCAGTGGTTCAGGGGGAAAGGACAAAGCAGAGAGTTGATCTTCCAGTTCCAAGAGCCCTACCATACACGCATCACACCAGTTTCAGATGACACACAGAGAGGCAACATGGACTTTTCCATCCGCATCAGGAACGTCACCCAAGCAGACACGGGCACCTACTACTGCGTGAAGTTTGAGAAGACAGCCACTGAGGGATACAAGGAGTTTAAATCTGGACCAGGCACTGAGCTGTCTGTGAGTGGTGAGTAGTGTGGCTGCCTTTGTCCCCTAGAGTGTGACAATATAACCAGAATAATGCCCTCTGTTCTGTCAGCAACAGCCTAGAAGCAGGGGTGGTGCTCATGTTTATGCTCTGATGACCTTAGGTGGGCCAGGGAAGCCCAGGTCTGCACAGGACCTGCTGCAAGGTTTCACAGCTGGCCAGTGGAGACATTCATCCTCTGGTCTTACTAGACCATTGATGGCCAGTGAGAACATCTGTTCCCTGGTCTCCCTGCTCCACAGCTGACCAGTGGGGACATCTAGCCCCTGGTCTCCCTGTTCCATGGCTGTCCAGTTGGGACCTTCACCCCCTGGTCTTCCTGGGCCACAGCCAAGCCCCTTGGCTCCAATGAAGAAAGGCCAGACAGTGTGATTGACTTTCCCTTCACAGGTCAGGCAAGGCCTGCTGTCTTCAGGGAGCACTTCTCCTTGACGGCCGAGCTCTCTTTTCAAGCCACAGCACTGAGGACTGGCTTTGCTCTGAAAGCCATGGGGAACAGGGAGCATCCCAGGCTGAGGCTTTACTCCCTCCAAGCTTTACCTCATCCCTCCTGTCCCTCCTCTTCTCTGGGGACAAGCTGCAGCACCAGGACGAAGAGGGACAGGTCATGATTTCCTGTCTTTTTCACAAGCTGTACTGAGGAGACACCTGATGGACTCAGATTCCCTGCTGAGTGCCAGTAGGAGCCAGGCTTCAGTATGAACAGAAGTGGTCACAAGAACAGAGCCTCAGTGTCTCCAATGGATCAAAATCTACCAGGACCCTCACTATATATCCACAACATGGAAAGAAACGTTTCTGTTTGAGCTTCTGCCACCTTTAAACACCTTATGAGTTAAAGGATTCACAGACAAGGAAACGAGGACTGGGGAACAGTTAGGGTGCTGTTGATGACTCCTTGCCCTTAGAACAGGGGATTACACAAGCTTATCAAAGGACATCTGAGGTTCTTGAGGACCTGGCCACCAGCGGCCTGTAAAGCCGATGTGTGCTGATGGATGAAATGCTCCCCTCCAGTGCTCACTGCCCCAGTGGCTGGCTACAGTCCTTCCTAGAACCACTCTGTGTTATTTTCCTGCCATGGAATACAGGAGCGCTTTTCCTCTTTTTGAAAAGACCAGGATCCTCCCAGCACAATGAGTGTTGTGAGACTAATCTTCTGGGTCAATGCTGGGTCAGTGGTTTGATTGTGGGAAATGTAAAGATAAGAAGCAAAGAACAATTTCATTGCTAGAGAAATGAACAGAAGATGCATAATCACATCCACTAAGAGTTCAGGGCTGGCTGGACATCCAATGCAAACAGAGTCCAGAGTTGGGTGACCAAGTGATTAAAGACATTGTCCTACAAAAACAATATCACTCTCATAGTTAATAAGATTTAAAATAATTCTTCCACATCTAAAAGAGAGTAGTAGGTACTGGTAACTCACATTTGTAATCCTATGTCCTAGGAGGCTGACATCAAAGGATTGTGGTTTGGAGCCACCCTGGGCTAAAATGTTTGTGAGATGCTTGTTTTCAATTAATCAGCAAAAAACTAGAAATGAAGTTGTGACTCAATTAGTAGAGTACTAGCCTTGGGCAAAAAGGCTAAGGGACAGTGTCCAGACCCTGATTTTAAGCCCTAGTATGGAGATTAAACTAACAAACTAAATAAACAAGTAAATAACAGTACATATTTTTCAAAACAATTTTTGTTTTAATTTGTGTGTGTGTGTGTGTGTGTGTGTGTGTGTGTGTGTGTGTGTGTATTTGTGCACATGCGCATGTGCATGCCCTTCCTGGGATTGAATTCAAGTCCTTGATACTGTCTCTGAGCTTTTATGCTCAAGGTGAGCACTCTACCACTTGAGCTACAGTTCCCCTTCTGGCTTTTTGATGGTTAGCTGGAGATATGAATCTCAAAACTTTCCTTGCCAAGGCTGGTCTCAAACTGTGTTCCTAAGAGGTCAACCTCCTGAGTAGCTAGGATTACAGGCACCAGGGTTATTTCATCTTTAAATGGTAACATTTTCCTGTGAAAGTATCTGGGTGTTAAAAAATCTCTGAAAACCAGGAGCCCATCATTCATGCCTGTAATCAAAGCTAATCAGGAGGCTGAGGTTGGAGGATCATCATTCAAAGCCAGCCCAGGAGCCCTTGAGACTTTTTTTTTTTTTTGGTCATGGGGCTTGTACTTTGGGTCTGGGGAGACTCTTATCTCCAATTAAACACTCAAAAACCAGAAGTGGTACTATAGCTCAAAGGGGTAGAACAGAACACATTAGCCTTGAGCAACAGAGCTCAGGGACAATGGCAAGGCCCTGAGTTCAAGCCCTCAAACCACCAAAAAAAAAAAAATCAAAATTGTTAAAATGATGAATTCAGCATCCCTTAAGATTCTGGGCCACATAGTACTCCCTCTTATGTCAAATGCATGGTCCCTAGCCACTGATGCCATTTGAGGAGGTTCTGGAAACTTTAGGAAAAGGGGCCCAAATTGGAAGGATTAGGTCACTGGAGCATGGTTTAGGAAGCTCCGTCTTGTCCGAAACATTTTTTTCTCTCGCTCTTTCTCTGTTTCCCTTAATAAACCCCATGACACATCCTGAGTAACCCATATCACATGGATTCCAAGGCCAGGATGCTCTCTACCCAGGTGTCAAGAGTCAACAGAGCCCAGAAACATGACCTGAAACCTCTGTAAATGGAACAAAATCAATCCTCCCACCTTTTAAATTGGATTTCTTGGACATTAACAGAACCATTCCCATTAACTACATTAGGTTGAACCAATTGTAGGCAGTGGTGTTTTTTGATGAACTGTCTCCTCTTCAGGGTCAATTTTCTGCATGCAGAATTCCTCACTACATACCCTTACCATCCCTGTGATTTATCTAGGATCAGCCACGGGTCCCCTGGTTCCATCCTGATGAGATAATGTGTGCGTTTCTCCTGGGCATCATCAGTCTTACTAGAAGATCTCAATTTTATGACTCTTTTCAATGACCCAACTTCATGTTTCAGTAATCTTGGCCACTGTTTCTCTGTTTTCTACTTTCAGCTACTTCTAAAAAATTATTCCCTTTCTGTTGATTTTGCTCTTCAGTGTGTAGTATTGTGAGGTAGGAGATTTTGAGAGTGGATTTTAGACTTTCCTCTTCCTTTATCCTCCAGCTTGAACCAGGGTAGCCAGGACAGGGCCCAGGTTCAAAGTCTTCAGAGTGTGGTAGGCCCAGGTCACTGTGGATGGGGCAAGTGCTGGCTCTGGGGAGAAATAACTCCAGGGGGCTCTCTAATGGCTCTTCCTGTGTCTTGATTTTTCAGGTATGATGTATTTTAATCTTGCTGTGCTCCTGATAGTTCTGCTCCTCAGCTCCAAGGTGTTGCTGGCAGTTGGAGTCTCTGCCATCTACATCCATAGGAAACAGATGGTAAGTTGAAAGGCAGGGAGGGCAGGTAAATGAAGGGTCAGCTGGCAACCAGTTCACTGTCACACAGTGTCAGAGTCAATGGAGTCTAGAGGGGACAGAGGTGCCTCCCCACCTCAGAAGTCTCATGGAGCCTTGTGAGAGGTGCCCAGCTCCCAGAGCGAGTGTGAGTGCTGCAGGAGGGGTGAGGTCAAGGGTTTGGAAAGGGTGTCCACAGGGTCTCAGGGGCTGCATGGAGGAGATGGAACAAAGAGTGGGAGGAGGGACAAAGCACTCCATAGTCCCCTTGGAGGCCATCACTAGATTCCTTCAAGGCTGGGACTCCCTGGGACAAGGAGCATGCAACTTGGAGCAATGTGAAAAGTTTCAGGTGTGCAGATTAAGGGCTGGCCTTTCTCTGGCTGAATGGATAAAAGAGAGCCATTTGACCCAACACAATGGACAAAGAGTGGGCATGTAAGCAGGAAGCTGAGGGACGGGAACAGTGCTGTCCCAGGGGCTCCTGTCCTCTCTGGACAGCTGCCCAGGAGTGAGCAGCACCAGGAACATAAGAGCACTCAGGAGACACTTCATGAATGAGGTAAGGACTCAATGTGACATCTCCTCCACAGCGCTCTCCTTCCTCCAACTCTGCCAAACAGGACTCTCGGTCACTGACATCTTCACACTTGACAACATCCAACCTGGGGTAAAAAGTAGAACCAGAACTTTTCAAGGACTCTGCTCCAAATGCCCCCAGATTTCTGTTTCTCATCTGTATGGAGACTTGATGCCCACCCACCACCCCCACAATTTAGACTGCATTTCTGCTCCTGAACTGAAGCTATAAAACCAGCTCTGAGGACTGACTCAGAACATCGCTTCAGGATGTGAAAGATGAGCGCAGCCTGAACACATTAAGAGGCTCCCACCCATCACTTCTGGATGACCCTCCCACATGACCCATCAGTTATGGAAGCATGATTGTGTACCTAGGGCAATGCTCATGTAAGATCTGTGGTGGAGAAATTGAGGAGGTAAATTTAATATAGCTGGGTAGCGGATAGACATGAAAGGATGAGTGTGATTTTTTTCTGAGTTTAACCAACCCGAGGAGATGACATGACCACACCCTCAGCAGGAATGAGGTAGGAGATTGTAGCTCCATAAGAGCAGATGTCAAATTCATATCTGAATAGTTGATTTACACAAATAAAGATGTCAAGAAGGCTGAAGAATATATGTCCACATCATGAACTCAAATGACTCAAATAGCAACAGGTAGATTAAAAATTTTGCTTTTTTGTATTTGTTGGTACTCTAGTACTCTACTTCTTGAACTATAGCTCTGTTCCTGCCACTCCTGGCATTTTGGTAGTTCACAAGAGATAAGACCCTCATAGACTTTCAAACCATGATCTTCAGATCTCAGCCTCCAGAGTAGCTGAGATTACAGGTATAAAGGACCGGTGCCTGATGACAGGATTTTAACCTGGGTTGTATCTGGTTCAAAAACCGGGCCTCTTGCACATTAATTCATTACCCATCCTCTACAGAGCTCAGAGACACATGAAAGCAGTGTGGGATG